ACAGAGAGTAAGTCACCTTGTATAGAACGTAACTGCGGAGGCCAAAAGCTTGAAGGAGGATGCAGACCTGGATCGGGCCCCAGCAGATGAGGAATAAGGCCACCATCACCACCACCATCCGGGAGACTCGTGCCCGCACCGCTGCTGCTCGCTCCGCCTGAGCCTGGAGCTGGAGTCAGGGAGGCTTTGAATCACATTCTGTTCTCTGAGGATTCAATACATAAAAATATAGTAAAGCAACTCTTACTTGGTAGCTGCTGTCGATGGGATTCACGCTGGCTTGCCCAATGCGCTTGAGCATGAAGGCGTAACAGGCGGTGATGGTGAGCAGGGGCAGCAGGTAGACGGCCAGGAAGCTGTAGATGATAAAGGCTCTCTGGAGGCGGGCCGAGGGGAAGACCTCACTGCAGTACGTCTGGGGACCAAACCATTCTCCTGCCTCCAGACGCTGGTACACGGCGACGGGGATCGACAGAAGCAGGGATCCTGGGGGGGGGGGACACACGACCGTATGACCCAGAGAGTGATGTTCAAAATAACTTGTACATATTGCAACTAGATGCCGGCTCCAAACCCAAAAAACAAACCACGTGAACAGCAACTGGAGAATCCCCAAGTGCTCTCTGGGGTGGTTTCTTTTCATTACATCAGTTTTCTGACTTTGGTTTTAATGCAGTAGATAATTTGCATCAAAGGAAGGGAGGGTCATTGAAAACAAAAAAGTTGTTCGCACTGTTGTAATTTTCGTGAATGTGTGCGTGGTTGTGTTTGTTTGTGGTGTACCTATCCAGATGGACACAGAGATGGCCAGAGCCATGCGTGGGGTGCGGTATCGCAGTGACTTCAGAGGATAGACGGTCACGTAGCAGCGGTCCACGCTCATAGCGGACAGAGTGATGCACGTTGCCTGAGCGGTCACCTAAAACACACACACAAAGTAACTTTGTTTCTCTGCACAGAGACATTTTTATACCTTTTTTCCCTCTGTTACATTTTCAGGTTTGTTTTATGTTTTGGGTCTGAGATTATTTTTTTTTGTATTACTTTGGTAGCTGTACATCCAAAGTTATTCTGCGCATAACTACACCACGGTAAACACAATGAGGCTCTAAAGGAGGACTAGTCGGCGTGGTGACCTTTTATAGTCTCATTTAGCCACTTGTTAGCAGACGCCTTTTTTAAAAACACGTAAAAGCTACAAACGTCACCAGAGGTGTATAAGTGCAGTACTATAGCATGATGCTTCAGTCACTGGGCCACGATATCATTAGGACCATGATCTCCAGCAATTCCACACATGTTTATTAGTATGTCCATGTGTGAGTATCTAACCTGCTGAAGGTAGTTCACCAGTCGGCACATAAACTCTCCAAAGATCCAGCTGGGCAGTGGGTAGAGTGTGGCGGTGAAGGGCACGCAGCAGACCAGGAACAAGATATCGGTGGTAGCCAGGTTTACTGGAAGAGGACAAGAGTAATGATCACTAAACAGAGAAATGTAATTCAAGACATGTCGGGGTGAGATGCATTCGACGGTGCAAAAGTACCATAAATAACTGTATCAATGCCGATAACATTGTTAAGTACTAAGAGTTATACCTTTCAAAATCCACCAACTAACCTTTTGTTCTTTTAGACTACTCGGAACAAAAGGTACAAAACTATTTGGATTCTATGGTCTGACCGTACTCAGATCAAAGTAAAAAGTAGTTAGTTGAAATGTTCTGTCAGTACTGCGTTAGGCCTACATTTTTAAAGGGAGGTATTATGACAATGCAATATAGAATGTTTAGATTAAAGACAACAGGTTAATAAGCTACAAACAAAGTGCATTAACAAAATGCTAAAAAAAATGCAAAAACGACAGTGAGGGACAGAAAATGTAATTTGTTAGCTCCACCAGTACTTATAGTGTCACACTACTAACAGACCACCTGTTAGTGGAACAGGGTCTTTAACTCCTGTACAAGGCACCCCTCCCCTTCTTTCACCGGACACACAGAAAGAAAAAAAAAAAAGACTTGGTGTGCGCTTCTGAAATGTTACCTATGTAGAAGTTGGTGACGGTCTTCATCTGCTGGTGCTTGGTGACCACGTAGATGACCAGCGAGTTCCCGACCAGGCCCACCAGCATGATGAGGCCGAAGAAGGTGGGGACCAGCCAGGCGTCGACCAACGCCGGCGGCCCCTGGCCCTCCGGAGTTGCGGACTCGTTGCACACCGGCCCGCAGTCCGGAACGTGATTAGCTGCTGGTTCCATTGTCATCTTCACAAATTAGAGCCAGGGGTGTTCTATGGTGCATGAAGATGACGTCAAAGTATGAAGAATTAACGTAAATTTAACACAAAAAACTGGTATGTTTAAAAATGTTCATAGTTTAGCATTTTTCTATAAGGTATTTAAATGAATACCTACTAATATGCATGCAATCAGCCAAAGCCAACTGAAATATTGAATCATATTAAATAAGCTTTTCCCCCCCCTGTGTAATAAGCCACTCTTACCTGTGTTGTGCCTGCTTGCCTCCCTCTCTCTGCTCTGTCAGGTTTAGTCCCGTGTTGGTCAGAGATGGGATGCTGTTCTGAGATGAAAGCACTGTTATAGACCACCATCACTGGCGAGGGGGGGAGAGATAGGAGTAATTTTGCTCTGTGAGTGTTTATGTGAGAGAGAGAGAGAGAGAGAGAGAGAGAGAGAGAGAGAGAGAGAGAGCAGGATCTTTTAAACTAAATCTCCATCACCACCTGTAATTATACAGGACCGGGTGCCCATGTGAAATGGCTGCAGCTGGATTCGAATACAGTTCTTTTATTTCTTCATCTTGCTAACATCCAGAAGTTGCGGTCGGTGTTAGATATCACCACAGAACTTCCCCAGTTAATCCCTGACATTGAGACGATTACTTTTTGTGTTGTATTATATGTATTGTTATCTAATGGTAACTTTTGGAGAATTTAGTAGAAATCTACAGACGCATGTCGACAAAGTAGTAAAATGAACACCCAAATGTGTATTTTGGATGTTTTCTTTCCACTAGTCTTAAAGAAGGCATGTTTGACCAAATCATAAATACCATGATTTTGCCTGTAGCGTCTCGCCACAAAGTCTGTCACACAAAGTGCAACATTTATTTTCTGTGTGATGTTGGGTAGAATTTTCACATTTTTCAGATAACTGTTTAAATGTAATTTACAAAGCATGTCATTCTACTCAAACCCCCACCCACAGCCTGCAGGCAACCATTCATTGATGTTTTATTTCATCAAATCAGAATGACTGGTGCTCACCTGCAAACCACAATAAAAAAAAAGATGAATTGTGGAGGCAGCCGAGGGGTCGTGCTGACAGTACAGCTTGATCTATCGCTCACAACAAACACGTTTTCGAAAAGCTGTCATTACATGTCTCATGGCCTCCGCTGCAGAGCAGCATGTAACCTTGCCAACTGCCCAGCCAGACACAAGTTCAAGAGACGTCTCTTGTTTTTTGCAGTTGTTTGACATATTATCCTGACCGTCAAACATAGAAAATGTACTTCTCTTTATGTTTTTAAATTAAGAGAACAAATAAAAAGTGTTATTTTTGTAAATACAATTTGAGCTTAAATCACCTTTGCTTCTATTTTGTCTCTTTTGGAAAAAAAAAAGGTACCTAAACAGGATTCTGAATTGTCATTGGTTTGCTTAATATTTTTAGATTCCAAATTAGATGTTAGCAATTTTATTGCGTAAGAGAAGGTACTTACATTTTATTATAAAGCATATTCAGGCGGTGGAAAATGTGTTTGTTGAAGGTGCTTTTCTTTTGGATGCGTGTTAGATTTAAAACATTGTCAGAAATATTTTTTGTCATCATGCTGGGTTTCTAATATTTCAACGTGCAACTCCTTCAATTTATGTCATCTTGTGTCTAAAGAGTCCTTGTTCATGTCTGTGCTATGTAAAAAAAAAAATATATATATATACATAGAAAACAGCAACTATCTATAGCTTTAATCTTTTCTGCGTCTTTGTCTTCAACTGGTACAGATGCGGGGTTCTGATGAGTCGCTGCGAGCAGTTTCCCCAGAGAGTTCTTCGGGACTCCAGATTTCTTTGAGGCACCTAGAAACAGCTTCCTCTAGAGGTCCGTCAAATCTTCAAAGAACCATTCGCTGGTTGGCCCTGGATCGGGATCAAGCATTACAACAATTAACGCAGGATCCGCTGTTGATCCCTCTGTGCAACCAAAAAAGCTTTTATCTTTATTTGTACTGCATAGCGAAGAACTTAACACATTTTGATCCCAAAACGTTCAACTAGTTTTGTTTGCCATGATCACGAAATAATGATTATGGTAGTGTTATTGTAGTACATTTATACTTGTTTATTATAACCTCAAGAAAAACCTTATTGAGAAAAAACTAAAAAGTTAAAGGTGCAGTGTGTCAGATTTGGCGACACCTAGTGGTGAGGTCGCATATTGCAACCAACCGAAACTTGAGCCAAAGCGTGTAGTAGAACTATATTTATCGATACAAAAACGTGATCGGTTTTGTATCGGTAAATCAAACGATGTGCAAAGAAGGATTATCTCTGCAGTTCAACTCAGCAAAGATTTTTAGCGTCCTGCAGCTCGGTGTTTTTTTTTGTCCACCCCTTTACTGCTTCAGTTCAGCATCACATAGTTAGCTAATACAGTGTGTAGGGTTTGGCGGTGTCTAGTGGTACCGCATTCTGCTTCTGCCCGAGCACAAAAAAAAAAAAAAAGAAAAAAAAAAAAAAAAGGTCCACAGAAAAGAAGTGAAGACGGGTTAAAAGCTTGAAGACGTAACAGTGACACAGAATCCATCTGGTTCTGACAACTGAGCCGTCACCATAACTGAGATGAAGATTCTAACTTAGGGGCCATCCCTATGACAACCGGTCTACGTTTTCACACATCAGTTATGCTGTTGTGATCGTCCTGGCACAACACTTACTGTCAGACTGCTGAACATTAAAAACAGCGGCCACACAAAGTCATTTTAATGGATTTAGCCATTTATTATTTCATATGTACACATATGACATATTGCACGGTACAAACAACGTCCTGGCTTTGATCAAGCTAAAAAAAGAGAAAACATAAACCTCATGGACTCTTATGTTAGTTTTGTGCGCTTGCGTGGTTCACGGGAGATATACATTCTTTATATTTACACACAGAGATAAATATACACTTTACAACTGAATAAAGCAGTTTCAAGACACTCAAGCTCTTCCACTGTTGCATACTGCTGGCTTCATGATAGCACATTGTCTTACAGTGTTTATCAAACAGCTGAGGTTGGCCTACAGACTTTTGGTGGATGGATTCAAGCTTCAAAAACTTAAATCTGACTCTCTGAAAATAATGTTGCGTGTTTAAAATGGCAGCAAAACAAAAACATCTTGCTTTCTGAGGTCGTTTTAAGTTTTTTCTCTATGCAGATCACAGTTTTTTTTTAAAAGCAGTTGTTAACATCAGTGGTAACTGAACCTAAAATCAACACGTTGAGATAGTTTTGACGACACAGATTGAATAAAAACCTTCCTCTAAGCATGTGTATGCATACTCGGGCTGTGTGTGTGCGCTTGAGTGGTCTGTAGTAAGAGCAGTGGTAGGAAACGCCGCCGCGTCTTGGAGAATTCCTCATGCCCGACTTCCTCGTCATCATTCAGTCTCTCGGCCTTCGCGGATGGGACAGGGTTCAGAACATTGGGGCGGTGCCGGGGAGGGGGGGGGCTGAGGCTCCCCCCCCGCGCTGCTCAGATGTTGAAGCTCTCCCCGCAGCCGCAGGTGCCCTTTATGTTGGGATTGTTGAAGATGAATTCGCTGGACAGCTTGGACTCCACAAAGTCCATCTCGGTTCCCAGCAGGGTCAGCTGGGCCTTCTTCTCGATGAACACCCTCACGCCTGCAAGAAGAGTCACAGCAGAGATGTCACTACTCCCCCCCGGTTCACTGTCCTGCACGTCTTCATGACGTTTGACTGCTTTTCAGCACAAGTGAAAGCACGAAAATAAAGACTCACCGTCCTGCAGCACCTCCTCGTCAGAGTTCCCCTTTTCCTTGGTGTAGTCCAGTGTGTACGTCATTCCGTTACAGCCGCGCGTCCTCACCCCAACCTTCAAACCGATCTAGAAAGAGCCACAAGGACGTTTCCATTTGGTGTCATTTACCATTCGCTGTATAGTTTCATGAGTTTTGAGTGCCACACTTGTTCTGGTTTAAATGGTTTGGCTATAAAACTGCTGAGTCACAGTAAGGAAGTGGAGGGCAGTTAGCGCTGCACACAAGTATGTGGACTGACGGATTTGTAAAAGTTACAGAAATGGTCTATTTGATGAGAACAACACTATTTATTTCAAATGCAAGACTCAAAAGAACACATTCCAAGAGATGAGGACATGCACTGTGTGGATAATATGATGTTTCAGTTACTCACATATTCTGGCTTGTTCTGCAGCAAAAACCTGATCTTGTGCACAGCTGCTGGAGTCTGAAGAAAAGACAACAGCAGGTTAACAAAGCCCACTGGATTCAGATGGAAGCAGTGTTTTTTTTTGCAGAAAAGCACACTGAACAAAACGCATGAGAATAGAGAAACATACTGTGGTGCTGGTTTAAGTTTCTTTAGCCGTTTGATACTTCTCCCTCCTGTGAGACGTTTCTGTTGCAGGGAATAACACTCCAACTGGTCTGAAATGAGTGGGTACCTACAGTATGATGAAATAAGTGCACTCCTGTAGCTCCTGCTGTAACTGAGCGGATGTAGGTGCAGAATAGAGGCAGTGTTCCTCTGCCAACCAGTCAAGTGGCAGTTTACATCACGCTACATGTTTGTGTAACATGAAGTCAGTGTCATCGTCATAATTTGATCCTCTTTTTGTGTTAAATTGTCACAATATTGCATATGAATTATTTGAGTTATGGTCACAGTGACCATCAAATTCTTAACAGTTCAACCTCGAGTCCAGGTGGACGTATGTGTCAAATTTGAGGAAAGTACCTCCAGGTGTTCCTGAGACTGCCGGACGGACAACCCCCCCCCCAAAAAATGCAGCACGGTGACAGTGCAGACATTTCATGCATCAGCTGCACGACCAAAGAGAGTTCTCTCTACATCCCAAAGAATAATGGACACACACATATGATAAACAGATTGAAAACAAATCTGCAGCTGCTGATGCCAAATACTACAGTGCAGTGCAGTACAATCCTAAATGTGTCACAGACTGGAGTTGTTTCATGACTATACCGTCCAACAAGTGTAATGATAATATCTTGAAAAAAATGAATAACTTGTCGATCTTTGTAGAGTACAAGTATTTTACTCTGGATTCTAAATTCTTATTTATTCTAATTCATATGCTTCTGCAGCATCATCTGCAGCCTCCTCAGTGTTGACAGAGTTCCCGCTACTTAACATTTAGGCCTTTATCAGCTCGGACCACCAAGGGCTCACATTATCTTGCAACGGCACCATTAGCAGAGCTGGTCAGGGCGACATTCTACATTTTTATCCCGCCTATCATAACGAACTATGACTCACCACAGACAGCTTGCTATACTGACCGTCCATACTCGGTCTACTATGTACTACTATGTAGTACATAGAGTACTTTTCCTCTAACTACTGATTCTTTTCCGGCATGTTTTCCTCTAACTGTAAAGAGCGACAGTAAATGTGGGTGACGTGCAGCAAATGTCTCTGTACAATAAAAAGGCATCACAGATAGAAAAAAAAAACCGCACGATACATAAGAAAACACGATTGCAGTATCTGCTAACTTCATACTAAAATGTGTTTAGCAACAATTGCCAACATTTCTTTATATCGCTTGTAAATTCAAGAGGTGATCCACCAATGTTTTACATACGGGTAACTTTAACGTCAACCTACCACAAAAAGTGAAACAAATGTCAGAACAACGAGTTCTTTTCGTGGTGTTGAAGGGACACACGACTACGCTAACGTTAGGCTGTTGGTTGCATTGTGGGAGATTGAGTCTTGTGATTTTAGAACTGGCTAGGGACTGAAAGTCAAGATATTTCGGTAATAGAATGTTAAGGTAACTTAGTAACTTAACGTTGTACGGCTCGACAGTATTGTCTGTATTGTGGTCATTTATTTGTATGCGACTAACTATTTGTCGCAGTTACGAAAGAGAACAGTGGAGAGCATTTTACAAAACAACTTAGCTTAGCAAAGGAGTACCGTTAGCATCTAATTAGTTCAGCCCTTGTGAGTCTATCCGCTAATGTACGCTCAACACGATGAAGCCAGCATTGCAATGTTACGACAAAGCTCTTTAAAGTAGGATCATGATGTACCGTGTGTGACGGTCAAGTCACTGACGGTTAGCTAGCTTAGGATCACGTAACTTGAACGCAACATAGCGGCGTGAGGGGTTAACGCCACACTGTGTGTATTAGCATGTATGAACAGAGAGAAACGTGTTTACGTGCGTTTATAACACAGTTCATGACTTACCAGCGTCAGTGCGGCTCTTGTAGGCAATAGCTTTCTTTTGCTGACCGCTCGGACGGTCGCCCGCACCATGGAGGCAGACATATTGCTGCGGTTATGATCACAACATTGAATTACGCAAGCGCCTGATACAATTAGCAACCGCCCCAAGTAAGAAGTCCGTTCAATGATTGGCCAATATTATGACGGATGGGTCCGTCAGCCAATGGGCTCACGGATAAAACTATAAAAATACACAGACGTTTGTTATGCAACCTACTCTAGAACTTTTCATTATATCATTTATGCTTTTAAAATACTCGTGAGGATCGTTTATTTCGTGCTTCTTGACCAATGTTTTACTTTTAAAAACAAGTCTTAACTTAAGGTACACTTGTTTGGTTTTCCCAGCACTATATCAAAGGTCAATACAGAACGTTAATGCTCGAATGTGCTAGTTTTTGTGGCATACAAGTCTTCTTGTAAAGATAGCAACAAAACATGACACCTAGTGACCAGGATGGCCACATTTTACTATTCCTGTTTGATCTAACAGTCCCTCGTGAGTCACGTGGAACTAGTACTACACAGCCAATCCAGTCTCATGAAATACTATATTAGTACAGTTGTGTTAAGTGGATACTGCATTGGCTCAACTGTATTCAACAAAAAAATAAAATAGTTAACCAGCAACCATTCGTAATTTCAGCTTGGTCGGTTTGTTCCAGTTTTATTATGATAGTGGTACATCACTCTGTTTTATAAATGCACAACAGTTAGATATCAATAAACATTGTTGTGGAAAAAAAATGTTGCACATTGGGATTTGATTTGTTTAATGAATTCTTTGAGACACAAAATGGATTGCAAGCCAACTTTTCCTGGCCGGATCGGGGGGGGGGGGGACGACCTCCCATTTGAGTTTGACTAAGGATACTTTTAAAATGACAAACTTGATTACAATACCATCAACGACACATTTCTTTGAATAAAAGTCAGCCATATTAGGACAACGAGAAAGCCACACGGTCCATCTTCGCATTTGAATGATAAGCAGGTCTTTGAGACGTTAACTAGCAGCGACATATTTAAAGAGCGTGTACCCTCGCACAGTGCAGCTACCAATCTGTGGCGCCATTACAACAAAATGAAGACTTGTGGCAAATAAATACATTTATCTCTTCACGGAGCAAACAGATGACCTCTAGTTTAGGAGTAAGTGAGCACAGTGTTTGCAGCGGAGTACACTGGCAGCTGAACCAGTTATTTAATTTTTTTTATTTTTCCCCATTTAAAAAGAAAAAGAAAAACCCTTACCACCAAGTAAGCATGAAACTCTTGTCCAACTTTCAACTGTATGTTCTCGCACTACAGTCACAACACTTCCTAGACTGTGGAGACACATACGGGTTATTAGAGGAAGTACAGTCTCACCGTCCTGTTTACACACAGGCAGTTGCGGGGCATGTTATCTATGAAATAGGAGAGGATAAGCCATCTAAAAAACAGAAAACTATGACCCTGGAACAAAAAAAGATATCTACAGGGTGGTTTCTCAAACACAGACAGACTGTGGGTAGAGCTGCTTTTGAGGCTGAAGACAGACGGACGTCAGTGCGGAGGCCAAATAAAACAGGACTTAAAACAAATTTGATTTAAAAAATTTTTTTTAAAATATCCTGGCCATTACGTACACTGCCATTCAAACGATTTTAAACAACCTCTCGTATTTTTTTTTGTGTTAATAATAAGGAAACATAATGGGAAAATGTATCCATAAAAGTGTGAACCGATAAGTGACTTCTTGTGTTAATTTCAGACGGCCTTCATCTCGATGAATAACTGACCTTAAATCACTAAAAGTAGCAGACAACACACCGTACAAATATATAGCAAGTAGTCTGCAAAAAACTCAAGCTATTAACTATTAGTCACGTGAGAGACACTTCTCGATTACTTGTACGATCTAATTTAGTCTGCAATGCCATCGTTTTTAAATGTATAAAAGAGAACTTAACTGGCAGTGTAGGTAAACAAAGACATGAGGTGCATGCAAAATGGCTTCTTTTGTGAAAATGAAAGATTTAAAAAAGCTCCTCTGAGGAGAGGAGCTCTAAAGGGGGAACAAAACAAAACAAAACACATAAAAGGCCCTATTTGGCTTCAAGTGAAGGCGTCCTGGCTTTGGCTTTTAACAGGCTCCCATTGGCCCAACAGTCCCATTCAGATTCAATGGTTTCTGGACTTTGGGTCGCTGTCTGCCTGGACAAGAGTAGAACCACATGGTTTGCGTAGCCACGGCTGCCGCTGCTCATTCCACCGGACTCTTCCTGTGACCAGAACGACCCACGTTTCGGGAGGCTAAACTACCTGAAACAAAACCAGAATGCGATCGTCAATAATTCAGTCCAACATCAGATTTTCAACCTCCACACTTTATGTAAAAAATAAAATAAAATCATAAGGCTTAATGACAAAAAAAACAAACAAAAAAAACAAAAAAAAAAAAACAGACAGAATGCCTCACCCCTACAAACTGTTTTTGCGGCTTTATTTGCACCAAACCATTTCAGGTTACAAGTATGATCACTCACAGAATACATGTTCTTGGATTACATAGAAAACAGGAGCAAATAGCTCAAATTCAGCACGAACATCAGCAAGCGTGCAATCCAGAGTCCAGAGAAAGACGGATGAACCTGAAGTAAACATTTCTCACTCACTCCTCACCAGCCCTAGAATGAGACCGTTGACCGAAAAATACAAATGTTTTCACTGAGACTAGTTATTGTAGTTCACCTCGTGTCCCCTAGAATTATAGACATATTTTTGGCACAAAACGCGACATAGCGGTCAGTCTGGGTTGGACATACGGGGAAAGATCAATTAAACATGGCCTGACAATGTACGCAGAAGAAAAAGCTGCGACCTTAATGGGTATTTTAAAATCATTTCCTATATTCCAGGAAGTAATTTGAAATAACCAATACATTTTTTTTTAAATAATATAAATGGGAAATTAGCTATACAATGACACTGACAATCAAGTACTGTTCTGAGGAACTTCAGTTGTAAATCTACATACCTGCTTGTGGACTTAATGTCACATTTTGCTTTCTCTTCTTCTCTTCTCGTACAGGTGAACCCTGAAAAAAAGGAAAAGATGTAGTGTTGTACGTAAGCCGTCGACCAATGAAATAATATTCTTTTAAACTACGTTTTTACTGTCGCAAAACTAAAATCATACCTGTCGCTCTTTTTCTCTCAAATTCCTTCCGTGAGCTGAAGAGGTGGAAGCGAAGCCTTCCATCCTCATGTTACCTAATAAAAAGAGGGAAGAGGTCAGTTCCCTCCTTTTTATGAACAGCGATGCATAATAACTTCTTGTACTTTATTTTGTTAATGAAAAAGAGAGCAACAGAAAATAACAAAATAGTCAGCTCTACAAGGGAGTTAAAAGAAATCTCTTTTAGAGAGAACAAACAATGCAATTGGTAAAACACACTAAAGACTGTACCTGCGGGGTTTCTATACTGCTGACAGTCCCTCTTGATGTGGGTAGTTGATCCACACAGGTAGCAGCAGCGCACCTCCAGCACATCCCTTTTCCTCCAGTGCTCGTTCTTTTGCCGGACCTGGTCCCTGCCGTCCTCTGCGGTCTCTCGCAGGTGCTCGGGCCTTTTCTCAGAGTCCCGTCTGTGTCTGGACCTGGAACAAAAGTTACCCACAGTAAGATACAAACACGTGGCTCGATGAGCGGTGCGGATAAGACATTTACAAAACGCTGCGACGAAGTCAGGCTCGTACTGGGATTGTACCTACTTCTTACGCATGGGGCAGTCCTTCATGAAGTGGCCGATCTTGCCACAGATGCGGCAGCAGCGGTCATTAGGAGCCACCTCTCCCTCGGTGAGGACTTCAGGATCAAAGAAATACTCCTGGGACATGAAGGCAAATCACTTTAACTTTAATGCTTACTTCATTTAAGTAACTTTATAAAGACACATTACTAAGTGTTTCCCATACAAAGAAGTGTTTCAAAGAATGATACCAAAAAAAACCAAAAAAAAAAAAAAACCACACAATTTAAAGCACAGAACAATGACAGGCAGACCAAACTGGAACAAACAAAAATCTGCAAAATCGATCTATGAAAGGCTTGGGTTTTTAAAACAGTTCAAAGACTGAACGAATCTGACAGATTGGGGAATATTTTTCCAGAGGGTTGGGGCTGAAACAGCAAAGCAGCGACAACCATTTGTTTTGCAGTTGGAGCGGGGGTAAATAAAAGGCTGAGACTTGAGGATCGGAACCGGAACTTCACACGAAGCCAATAAAGGAATACAGGAACGGGGCTCATGTGGGACCGACTGCTAGTTCTAGCTATTTAACATCGACTGTGTATAAGAAGTGGACGTAGTCATCGTGATGTCACCCATTGCTTGTTATAATAAAGTTATCCGCCAATATTCAGTAAAATATGCGATCGGGACATCATCTATGCTTTTATAGTCGCCGGTCTATGATAATGTTACAATGTAAACAACTAATCCATGTTGAAAATGACCGGAGGAGAGCTGGTAAAGTGGCTAATGGACAACGAACGAAGGTTCCGTTCAGCTACTCTGCGTTTACATCATGATGCTTGGTGCTCACACATCAGTCAAAGCTGATGGACAATGTTTTCCTCATGTTGAATATTTAATGTGAAGATGTCGGCCATTATATCTGCCCAGAGAATTGTTTTTGTTGCTGCCGTTTACATTCCTTTTGATGCAAATTTAACAAACGCACCACAGGAATGTACTACTGTTTTTGTTTTGTTGTTACAAACGGGCTACAACTGAATATCGTAGATCAGCGTCTGGTTTTTCCTGCATTTCTTAGCTGAACAAAATAGGACTGACGAGTTCAGCAACATGACAGTCAAAGATGACGCCAAGATTCTTGGCTGTCGAGTGAAATGGACCAATAAATTGATCAACTGCAGTGGCAAAGGTCCAATTTAGGGTTTAAGTGGAGGAAATTAAGAGACATCCAATTTTCGTGGTGGCTGAACATTAATGAAATGATTCAGGTTGTTGATTTAATGCCACTACAATGTGGAAATGTGACACTCACCATCTGAGAGGGGTACACTGGAGGAAAGGCTTTGACTGGTGTGCCAAACACTGTTCTGCCATTGATGAAAGCCTTCATGATGAAGTTGGTCACTGTTTCGATGACAAAAAGAAGAACATGTATTAGAAAAAGACAAGGACAAAAGACAACAGAAGACACAAACGGACGGCATCTTACTTTTCCTGGACAGACCGGCACCGAGGTTATGATTCAGGTCGAACGGATCTGGAATATGAACAAAGAAGAGGAAAAAATATTTAAAAAAAACACCCACACAGTCATTTTGATTCAGAAAACAAATCATACAGCGACATGGATTTATTGAACTGGATGGACCGCAGCATGAAAGAACACTTCCCAAAGTGCCCAAACAATAACTTCAGCCTGTGCTGGAGGAGAAGTTTAAACCAGGACACCAGAATCCATCCATTTAACTCAGAGGCCTGCACCCCGAGTCTGTCACACAGTCTGACCTTCAATGACGATGTACTTGGACGTCCACTGCTTGTTGAAGGTGGTGAGGCAGCCGTGCTGACGGAGACAGATGACATGCTCTCTGAAGTCAAAGTCCTCGGTGTAGAAGCGGAGCAGGCCGAGCCACAGCTCCCCCAACGTCTCCGTGTTCTTCCTGTACTGTGGCCAGCGACTGGGCTGCAGGCGGAGGAAGACCGGATTGATGCGTTATTAACACACGGTGTGACGTGTATATATTTATCATAAAATGTCAGTGAGACAGAATATGTATAAAAATTTAAAAAATATATAAATTACTCACAAGTGCTTTTAAATCGTCAAAGAAGTACACGTTCCAGCCGTCAACCAGCACCTCCGGCTTCTTCTTTCCATCATAAATCTGCAACAAACAGTTGAAGGAAGTTGAGGAAAATTGCAGATTCTTAGCAATAGGGTACAACATTCCTCTTTATAGCCCTTAATAGGCCCACCATCTGCTGGTGTTGGGGATTGAAAATATCAAAATCATGAAAAAGAAATTGAGCAAAAGCTGTGTATGTTATTTTTGGAGGATCAAAACAAAGAGGTTCTGTAAGGTCAACCTTAGCTGCTTTTACATGTTTAAACTAAAAGTGTGTTTAGAAAGGAGAGATAAAACGGAGTGTGAGATAGTTTAATTGATAATTTAAGTCTTAACTATTGTTATCACAATACCAAATAAGAGAATTTAATACTGTACCCTGCCTAAATATCTCGATAACTAAGCGATACGGGAGCAAAAACATCAGGAAACATAATGGAACAATGCAACTTAACATTTTTATTAATTAGAAATGTTAAGTTAAAAAACTGTAATGTATGGAAACATTGCACATGGTATGCAGTAATGTGATGTACCTATACTCTACTTGAGTTAGTTTCTTGTGACAGCTCAGTTCAGAGCGGTACTGCAGCAAGCTTCCAAAACAAAACCCCATCAAATAGCAATCCATTTCAATGAAGTTCTGTATTTTAATAAGGAACTTTCATTTTAAGAAGTTTATGAGGGAGATGCTGGAAGACTCTACAGTAACTGTAAGTCACTTCACATGCTCTTGGGTGGATTACGCGTTTGCTAGTTTAGGCTCTTAAAACACTTTTTGATTGTAAATACCTGTACCAATAAAATGGGGTATTGTACAGTTTTTAACAGCAGGATATTGGGATGCCTTTCTAGTTTTGTATTTGCATTTGTACCTCTTGCAGCACAGGGATAACTGGCGGGTCTCTCTGCTGGAGAAAGAACAGCACCATGAGGGTGTAGGCGTAGGACGAGAGGCTGCCACGGGAAGCATCCCCAATGTCACACATCTGGAACGCGACAAAAAACAAACATGATGGTAATACTGTAACACAGAATATCATATGACAACAGAGACGTACAAACAAGACACCTCGAGTGCTTAAAGGCCGCTCACCTTGGCGAAAACCTTCATGACGTAACAGAGGATCTTCACTCTCCTGTCAATGGCGGCGTAGGAAGCAAGCAGATGTGTGTTGTGCAGGGCCTGAAGAAGAAAAAGTTGGAAAGCGTGACAGTTTGAGAAGTTGGTCAATAGCAAAAGAGACTAAATGAAACTAACAGAGAGGGAGAAGAGCCCTACCAAAGTGTTGTAGAGGCTGATGTCTCCCTCCAGGCCGGTGCGAAGGTGGAAGAACTTCACAATCGGTACTTTTGCTGTAGTGATGGACAAGATGTTCTTCAGACCTGGTGAAGACGTGGAAACAGGTTTAAAGGGATGCGTTGACATTTTGTGTTTTACACATCTTTACTTCAAGGAATTATTGGACAAATTTAGTTGATAAAGGAAACAAATGGAATGGCAGCCAGCTGAGAAGCTATTATTGCTTAATACACATTAAAAACTTCCTATGAGCCATTGATGTACCATCAGCTATAGATAATATGAATATGTTTTTGTGGAGTATTTCCTGATCTGAACAGAGGGTCCGAGAGTGTCGTACAATGCACAGATTACGATCTTGTACCGTAAAGATAAAACTGCCTGATTTCTTACTAACCTTGGTGTTTCCACAGCATTCTGGCCAAGCTTTCAATGATGCTGATGCACTCGACGTCCTGTGGAGCAAAATCACCAACGGAGTTACATTTGATGGATTTGAGATCAACAAAGAATCGCGCTGACCAGCCACTATTACCAACAACTACAACAAGTCATCATTTCATTTAACCCTCAATGATTGAAGCAGAAACACAGAGTACACACAAAACTTCGCTTTTCTGTTGCCATCAATAAACTAAATTTCCTACAAAAAGGACATCTCAGTCCTTGCAATAAGTTAAAAAAAGAGAACTTACTTCCATGGTCTCCTGCCCCTCCAGCACCATACAGATGTCTAGGTCACTCTGTCTGAACCCAAAGCCATTTTTGGATGATCCAAACAGTTGCAGCCGAGCTCCTGTCCATCAAAAAAAAACAAAAAAAAAAAAAAACACGATCTGTTAATTCAAACATTAGTGTTCCAACATATCACGTGGGTTTACGGGCAAGACAATACAATGTCACTCATCATACTATTTTAAGTTAAAACTAAGGATGCTAAACTATGAAGACGAGGGGTTTACTTCACCCTCAAACTGTCGTCTGACGAAGGTCTCCAGGTCCTGAAGGATGTGCTCTCTCACACCCACTTCCAGTTCATCTGGGGCGAAGTCAGCTGAAAAGGAAACGGACCCGTCAGACTTCCCCCAAAGTCACTGTATTTGAAACGATGTCGCCCATCTGTAATGAGAGCAGACTTTTCTCCCTCCAATTACACCACGACGGTGGTGAACGTGAGGCTGACTGAGGAGGAGTCATTGGTGAGAAACGTGAACATATGAATAACAGGTTTCAAAAATAGTATTTGTTGTCTATGCATGCAACTCTTCCTCTCTGCTGTACACTGCTTGTGCACATTGTATGGGGAGTCATAAATACTATACGATTAAAAAGGGAAACGTTGCAGATTTTCATAACACCCATATCGCAACGATACAAAGTCGGCTGAAAATCTGCAAAGTTTCCCTTTAAGTAACTTAACAAAAGCTACTGAGGGTTCAATTACAAGTAACAGTGAGGTCATTAGCTCAAGCCTTTTAAATGCACGTTGGGACTCTTGCAGGAACCACAAACAGATTTGTGCTTAAATGCCAAGTCGTAGTTATTCATAAAAAAAGGTATAATATGCAACAGGTTCCTAAAAAATAATGCAAAGTCTGAGGCAAAAATGTTTGGACGAATTCAGCCATTAGTGGATATTACAACATTTAGGACAGAATTATTTATATAAGGGACATTCAAGTGTTCGTACTGGGAAGTTTAAAATATAATCAAATGCCTTGAAAGCTTATTTTTAAAGCGACCTATTTCTGTTTAAAAAAGAGCAAATATTTACACTTTTTTTACATTCTAGAAATGTTTTGTTAGCAGGAACAGGACGACGTGAGCATCTCCAAATACGTATGAAACTACATAACTCACTGTAGCACTGCTCACAGACTTTGTCGAGGACACAAAGGAACTCTGGCGTGATCGGAGGCAAAGGATCCAGCTGCACTTTCTTGAAATCTTCCGGACAGTCTTTCTTCAGATGGCCATCTCGCTTGCACAAGCTGCACACGACCATGTGTGACTAAGAGAGACGGAAAGAGGTTTAAACACAGATGAGGCACACAGGCTCATCTGACAGTTTCTTGTTGAATTTAACTTGCAGTCGTCCTGCAACCCAAATGATTAAAAACCCCAACACACTTACCTTGCCTCTGGTGAAAGCTTGCCTCGTGAACTCATAAGACCGTCTCTTCTGTTGTTGGGTTTTATTTTCTGGACTCTTGTCGTTAGTTGTATCCTCTAAATGTGGAGGCGAGAGACCCTCAGGCGCCAACTCCACATCCTCTTCCTCGTCCATTGAACCAGGCGTGTCCAAATCTGGACCCTCCTCGTCAGACAGGAGCTCCTCGCCGGAGATCTCGTCCACTGGGAAAATCTCCTCGTCCTCCGTGGTGAAGCTGTCCAGGTGTTGCCTGTTGTGCTGAGCGTCCACATAGACGTCCTCGTCCTCCTCGTCCTCGGATAGGCTGCTTTTGCCCGGGTCCGCTTTCTCCTTCTCTCGTTCCTCATCCGAGTCGCTGTACTCTTCGACCTCTTCATCCTCAATGATGCAGTCGGAGTCTTCGGGGCCGTTATCGGCAGCTTTGGGTTGACCTGCGCGCTGCGACTGGATGCCGAGCCGACTTAAAGCGGACGCGGCCTCTTCGTCAGGAGCCTCGGCGTTCGCCCCTCGGACAGGTCCGCGCTGCGCCTTCGTCTTGGGACCGCCAGCTGGCGCGTTGAGCGGCAGTGCAAAGTACTTGTATGTGGTTTTGAGACAGTGGAGGATGTACTCGTACATCTGCTGGCTGTTCAGGGTGCGGGCCACGTTTCTCTTTACGGCGAACGGGTCTGAAAGAGACACATTACTTGGAGTCATGTCAGAGTAAATCTCTATACGTGTTCAACAGAAATGAAGATTATGTTTATTATTTAAAGAAAGATATATGGAAGGCTTTTGGAGTCAGTCAAGGCTTTACTGTGCATTTTGTTGCCGTCACGCTAGTTTCTCTCCTCTCCTCTGAGGGCGGAGCTTACGCGCGCACGCACGCACATTAATACTGCTTGTATTAATTGATGATGTAAAATAACCTTGTGCTGCAGATAGAGCATTGAGGATACATCGAGAAACGTCGTGCATTCAAAATGGTCATCGTGAGGCCAGTGAAGGCTCGCACCTCTCTCTGGGATGGAATTAAACTCTGAACATGGAATTGTACAAGTGGCATTCCATTTCATTGCTGCTCGTTTCGGTCAACACGGAAAATGAGCAGAGCTCCACGAGGGATTTTTTCCAGCAAGCCAAAAGCATAAACCTTTAAATTCAGAGGAGAAGATGAGAAGAGTTTCTGACCCTCCACAGCGATGCGTTTCTTCGGCCAGTCCTTCATCTCCCGGGAGAGGACGGCACCGGTCCGTACACTGATGACGTTGTCGGCCAAGTTGAACTCCAGCGAGTAGAAGCGGAGCATCTCCACCCAGAGAAGTCCAACTTCCACGGGAGGGTGAGGGCTCTGGAACACCAGCGGAACCTGCAGGGGAAACACAGACAGTACAAACGTTCAGCTTCTAGTATGATAGTGGATTAAAAGAGACATTATGCATGCCTGAGCTCCTCCACTAAACCATAAGCAGTTTCCAAAAGCATACAGACTAGTTGCTTGATTATTTGTTAAATGCTTTGTTACCGAACCCAAGTCTCCCAGATTAAACAACACAACTATTGTTTTCTCCAAGAACTACTTTATGCATTTTGGTTGCCTTCCAATGTAATTTGAGTGATGAAACAAGACAAATAGATGAAACTCTGACAAAACCAGTTCACCATAATATATCATCTATGGTAACAGAAGGTTTTTATGTCTCTGCAAGTTCGGTTTTATTACTGTAGCAAAAAAAACAAAACAAAGCATCAAATCTAGAAAAAGCACATTCGTGTAAAAAAAAAAAAAAAACTGCCAAAACAGAGGAAAAAAAACTCTTCCCAGATAATAAAACAACATTAGTGTATCCATGCATACCTTTCCCTTTATACAGGAGCCCTCTGCTGGCGGGTCTTTGGAGGGAGGGGTGTAGGCCCAGTGCACGTGTCCGTCCTCTGTGTGCGCGAGGTTGAAGTCTGACAGCCTGCTGAGTGAAAACCCCTTAATCTAAAAAGACAAATCGGATGATTGGATTAGTTTCATCCTCGGATCAATGCTGAAATGAACGCCGTATACTTTTTTTCCCCGGGCACAGGGTGAAGAGAAACAGCACACCTCTTGTTTCAGGTAGGCAGGCAAGAGGGACTCTTTGCGCTGCTGTAAGAAGAAGATGACCATGAGGGCGAAGACATACGGAGGCAGCCCGCCTTCCTCGGCGCGGTCGATCTCGCTGATCTAAAGCGGGAACAAGAAAACAAAAATGCTTTACCAAAATAAATTTGAAAAGAATGTAGGGCTACAGAGTCCCTGATTAATGTGTCTCAACTGGAAACATACCCGGGCCCAGCTTCTGAGACCCAAAACCAGCGGGAGGAGGAGATGCTCCCGACTGGACAGGGCAGAGAGATAGGAGGTGGTTTGGAATGCGTTTTCATTGCCAGCACTCACTTTGCACACCAGGCCACTGTTGAGAAAAGTGACGGTTTTCATTAGCGGCTCACCGCTCTTGTGCATGTGGTAACGTAAGAAACCCCCGTTCTGGTAGTTTCATAACGTCTTGATTAATGATCATCCTGGACTTTCTACAAGTCACAGTTTGATTGTTAAATATGTCCAACAATAACACCCACCTGTTTTTCTCTTTGCACATGACCACGGGCACCCGGGCATGAAAATCAGCTTCCATCTCGACAAAGATAGCTGAGGAAAACAACGAGACGTGTTCAATTTAAGTCCAGCGACACATGACTGGACTTTGCTGTGGTTGGATTGTTTTTGACAAGGACACATGGATGAGTAAGAGCCGACTCACAGTTCACGGAGAGACTCTCCTTGACCAACAACAAGACGTCCGGCTGATGCATCTGTGAATACATGCCATTTCAAAGTCGTTATGATACATGAATGCAATATAGAAAAGGACATGAATGGGAAAAAAAGAAAGAAAACAAACTCACGTGAGGTGGATACTGAATGTCAATGTTGACATCAGAATCCTTAAATCCAAACTTAGTGCAAGACGATCCATAAAGCCTGAGCCTGATCTCTACAGACGAGAGACGGAGCAATGTTATTAACGTAAGAACACAAAATGGTGAAGTGATGTCAAGTACAACAGCCTGTTTGCTACAATGCGACACGATCACGATGAATTTGGGTCGTGTCGCTCGTCACCAAAGCAAATATTTCCTCCCCGGGGGACTTACCAGGCAGGACGGACAGAAGGAGGTCTTGCAACATGGAGACGACGCTTTGTCTCGTCTCGACATCCTGGTCATTCATCCCGTTTTCCCGGACGACGGCCTCGAGCGCAGCGCTCACCGCGGCGATCTGCTCCGGGCCGGGAGGCAGGATCTCAGTCAGCATCACCTGCTCTTGCCTCTCCTACAGGAGCAAACAAAGCAGATGTAGGTTGAGGACGGTTTTCAATGCATAAAAGACTGGAACCGCACGGAGACAGCACGGCAGCATCATCTGCTCACAAACGTTTGCCGTCTAAATGGTGATTTGCATAACAAGGTCATTTTCTCACCCTGGCCCTCTTCTTGTGCCGTTTGTCTTGGATGTGTCGGTGAGCGTCCGACACGGACTCCAGCAGGACGTCGCAGAGAGCGCAGGTGTAAAGGGCACCGGGGTTGTTGTGGGACCTCTGAACCAAAGAGAAGGAAAGAAGACATCAGACAACAGCTGCAACAATCAAACTGTTATGGATCTTCTTAACTTAGCTCTATCTCATAAACATATCAAATACTGGAGCACTGAATAAACTCGTTATCAAAGAGAGGGTCCTTTATCAGGTTTAACTCTTCTAAAAAGAAAATTAGGGTTGCAACCAAATAATTATCATCATAATATATTCATCTGCAGATTATTAATCATTCAGTGTGTAAAAACATGTGGAAACCGTGAAAGACTAGAGCTGCAGGGATTAATCAATTAATTGTCAACTATTAAATTAATCGCCAACTATTTTAATAACCAATATGAGATATTTTAAGTCAAAATTATCTGATTCCAGCTTCTTAAATATGCATATTTTCTGGTTTCTTTACTCTTCATTGACAGTAAACTGACTACCTTTGAGTTATGGACAAAACAAAACAAATATGATGATATCTTGGGCTTTGGGGAAATGAATATTTGGGCTACCACACATACACACAGAGAGCCTGTACCTTCTTCAGGGAGTAGATCTCGTCTTTGTTAAGCCGCCGCTCTGCCTGCCGTAGGCTTTGGAGCTCTTTGGCTGACAGTGTGGACTCATCGATCATTGGGCCCCTGTTCTCCTCACCATAAGCTCTATTCTTGTTTCTGTTTCGCCGTCTTCTCCCTTTAGAAGGAAGAATGTGCCGTTATGTGTTGAATATGCTTTAGTGGAGTAAGTAATCAGTCAGTTCTTACAGTCAGACTCTGCTTTTTTTTTTTAATAATCCTAAAAAAAAAAAAAGTGTTCTTCTTACTTTCCCAGGGTCTGACTTTCAAAATCCTCACCTGAATTATGAGCATTGCCGTCAGCATCCTCTCTCCCCCCCTGCTCCCTGTCGTCCCTTGGACCTTCTCCCGGTGCACTCCTCCTCCAGTGCGGCTGCGAGCGCTCTCTCCAGCTCTCTTCTCGACCCCCGCCACTGTTCTCAAGACCAGCGAACCACCGGGGGTCATCCTTCTGCGAGGGGCTGTGACCACCTCTGAATCCACCAGGCGAGTAGTTCAGGGGCCCCAGCCCTCCCTTCTTGGGACTAGCCCGGTAGGGCCCACCCTGGTGACCTCCCTCTGGTCTGTAGCTCTGTCCTCGACCCTGGTCCTGGGACCTCCAGCTTTCTCCCCTCTCCGTTCCTGCTCCCCTCTCCCTGCCGCCTTGCCGTGCCCGGTAAGGCCTGCCCGAGTTTTCCATGGTTCACTTTTGCAAAAACTGCAGGATGAAATATTCAGTTAATATAGAAAAAGTCTTCATGCGAAAACATCCTTGACACAAACTGTATGGCAACAGAATAATCTGCCTTTTTCTTTGGGGGAAGCAGAATGCCATTTTAGTTCCCTTTCTTTTTGTGCAGAGACGGTCATTGGCTGCAACTGCTAATTCAGATCAGACTGCTGCACAACTTTGCAGCGGATTAAGACACAGCTACAATTTGATCTTAATGGATTTCAGCCAACAGATATGTAAAAAAAAATTGTGTAATTTTAAGCCCATGTAACATAGTTGTCGGACTTCTGCCAACTAAGGTTAACCATCAACAGACTTTCAACCAGACACAATCATCACTCTGCCTCCTCTGACCACAAAGAGTGGAAATCTGTCACCGATTGAAGTTCCCAGGGGGCAATTAACTAACTTTGGGTCAAAAGAGAGCTCCCTCTCTCTCTCTCTCTCTGAAGCCATACCTTAAGTACAGAGAGTTGTGCAGTCCTGACTCTTTCAGCTCAGAAAAGCATTTTTTTTTTTTTAAATCAAGTCATTTTAGAGAAGGTAATGTATGATTTTTACACCTGCCTTATTAATAAAAACAATTTATAAACAGGCTTTTATGTAAATCACTCCACCATCCAATTGTATCAGTTTGTTGGTGTGATTAGCTAGTTGTATCTGTTGACCTTATACATTGCCTTTTATTTCTATTTTATTGATGCTATATTTAGGTTTTATGTTATGCAAGCTAACGTTAAAAGCAGTTCGACAACATTTTTTCAAAGTACTATAACAAGCAACAGTTAACATAACTATTAGCTCCATGGAAAACCTTACGTTAACATTGGTGCTTCTCGTGTTACCAAACCTATCACTAACATATACAACATCACTGTAAGGTGAATGTGTATGCACTAACGCAAACTGAACCTTAGGCAGACTCAAGTTACCGGGCTAACTGTAACGCTAGCTAACTAACCGAACGTTAGCTGACGTCAGGCGCTTGTTATTGTACGGTGTTTGCGTGAGCTAGCTAGCTAGCTAGCTAGCTAGCTAGCTTCTGCAGTCAGGTTTGCCTCTAACCGTTTCCTCGAGTTAACGGCGTGTAACTTTATCACGCGTGGAGCCAACACGCCGTCAACAAACTTACGTTAGTGTTAGCCACTAAATGTAACGTTAGCTAACTTGCATCATATAGCCTCACCAGCTAACGTTACTGTTAAGCTAGCTCTTCCTATTTAGCTCATTAGCTAAGACAGCTAACGTTAGCTACCAAGCTAGCAACAGCTACCGTTACTTCATAGTTCTTCTGTCAGCCTGCTCAAACTGCAGCTGCGTCAAATGCAGTCATCAGTAAAATGTCTGCGATAATTATCCATAAAGAATACTAAAGTCAATGAAATACCGTTTGTACGTGTGCAGAGGGCACACTGGCAGCCTTGTTCAGGTCTGACTTGGCATGATCGCTCGTCCTGAACTGGAGTTTGAAAGATGACGCACAGGCTCGTCTGTTTTGTAAACGTCAGCGTTCAAGGTCCGCCCACCGCAATGTCAGTGCGGATCCCATCAATATGAATAATTACTCAATATATTATATCATCATGAACCGCATTCAGGTGGCGTTTTGACACAAAGTTAGTTGAGAAAAACTAAAATATTGGAGATGATTGTTATGTGTTATGAGATGTTATGCCATCGTTATGGATAAACAATGACATAATCACCTCCATCTTCACCCATCTGTTGTTTTCCATTTTGAGAGACCTTCCTTAATTTTGTATAATAATAATAATCAATAATAACAGTCATTGCACTTATAAAACATTATTACATACAAATTGCAATTGCCCTTTTAAGCAATAGGCCACATGTATTCAACTACAACGCCATTTAACATATAGCCTCATGTTTTTTTCAGTTATTTCTGTAAACATGTTTTGAAATTTCACATTCAATATCACAAGTGGAAAAGCAATTTTTATCTAGTGAAATCACAAAGTAACATGTGTAACAATGTAACACATTAGGCTACAATTCAATGTGAAAACATCATTTTTTACATTATTTTGGGGATTATGTGATCTAATTTGTTTTCATGAGCCTATAGACAGCAAAAAGCGATAACCTAACATATGGTTCAAGGTTTAGGATAATTAATCCCTACATGGGACAAGTGATTGTTAACCTCGGTTTCCCGGGCGACGGGAGAAAGGTGCGCTGCAGGAGCGCGGGGAAGACCCCGGGAAAACTAACGTAACCAGACGGAACTCCCCTCCCCATCCCGCAGCCAACATCCAGGAGGCTGCTGCAGTGTTAGGACCTGGCCTCAGTGATACACGGCCATCGAAAGGCTCCAGTAAGTGACAGCCTACCGGAGACATGGTGTTATTTGTGAACGGAGAGCGTGGTTCCGAGGCCGTTTACAAACGGAGACGGACGGCCGGCGCGTCCCCTCCAACAGAAGCGCACGCAACGGTCCGGCAACGGCAGACCGCCCGGCACAGAAAGCAGACGCTCGTGTCCAAGTTGAGCGACTCTAGTTTCGAGGAAGACCTGGGATCCTCCCCGATTTGCTCCCCGGCTCGGGTAGACCTGTCCCCGTTGCGTTCGGACGAGCCTCCCGCGGGACAGCTGTCCAACTGGTACCTCCAGTACGGCGACGTCGGTTTCCAGATCCAGAGGGACAACGAGGCGCAGTTTCATTCCTGCAAAAGCTTGGCACGCCAGCCACAAGTAGGTTATAACGCACGGACCGTTACCAGTAGTCAGGTGAACAATAGATGAATAAGAAATATGTGTAATGTATTCAACTTCTATATGAATTAGGTTAGATTAAAACTATTATTTAGCCGACTTTTCACACTTCATATTAATTAAGAGAACAACATCTGTAATCCAAAACCTTTTTTTTTTAAATGTTACTTTATTTACATTGCTATTATTTCAGAATAGCTTGATTATCCATTGGATATTCATAATTTATAGTGGAGCTCATTTTTTCATATAGAGATTAACTTTTGTTTTAGATATAGTTTCCACGTCTAAATATCTCATATGTTTTTAATAAGATTCCTGAAATTACAACAATCTTGCCATATTGGAGCTAAAGAAACACAGGTGGCTTAATGCATAAATAATGACATGAACATATCTATATAACTGATATGAAGATGGATAAACACGTGCCATCTAGTCACTAAAATCCTTCGCTATTTTTCCATGTCTTTTATTAATGGAGTCTGTGCTCTGTACTCGCAGCTGACTGAGGAGGCCCGCTGTAAGCTCGTCAGCTGGCTCATCCCCGTCCACAAACACTTCCGTCTGTCCTTCGAGTGCTGCTGCCTGGCGGTGAACATCATGGACAGGTTCATGGCGTCCACTCCGGTGGCCGCGGACTGCTTCCAGCTGCTGGGCGTCACTGCGCTCCTCCTGGCCAGCAAACAGGTGCGTGTCGTGCCCGGTGACCATGGTTGACAGTTTAGAAATCCTTCATCGCCACTCATTCCCTCTCTCTCTCTCTCTCTCTCTCTCTCTCTCTCTCTCTCTCTCTCTC